CTGGTGACAAATTGTTGAGTGCGTTTGTCATTTGTTTTGCTTGACCGATTTGGTGCAGGGACGCATGGGGTTTCTCAGCTGCCAATGGGATGTGCGGGATCCCTTGTGTGTTCCTGTGCTTTTAAAGAGGCTGGGCTTCCTCCTGACAAACCTGCACCCAATTTGAAATCTTCTGCCCTCATGTGCTCCAAGATGGACTCTCATAGTTTAGAGTTAGGACCGCACTATAAGAGGTGCCTTGTTATACAGTAAGGTGCACACGAAATGGGCTTTGAACAGTAAAACAGTAGAAAGGCATCATGGCACACTCACAAACCAGCATGTAAAACAACGTCTCACCACTAAGGATAATAACAGAGATTTGGATACACGTCTTCTGCAGAGGATGTGAAAGGCCGCGCCAAGGCACCTCTCATAGTGCGGTCCTAACTCTAAACTATGAGAGTCTCCATCTTGGAGCACATGGGGGCAGAAGATTTCAAATTGGGTGCAGGTTTGTCAGTTAGGAAGCCCTGCCTCCTTTAAAAGCACAGAAACACACAAGGGATCCCGCACATCCTAATGGCAGCCGAGAAACCCCATGCGTCGCTGCACCAAATCGGTCAAGCAAAACAAATGACAAACGCACTCAACAATTTGTCACCAGTTATACAGTAAGGTGCACACGAAATGGGCTTTGAACAGTAAAACGGCATCATGGCACACTCACAAACCAGCATGTAAAACAACTTGTTAGGACCGCACTACAAGAGGTGCCTTGGCGTGGCAGTGCGGCTTTCACATTTTCTGCAGAAGACGTGTATCCAAACCTCTGTCATTGTCCTTAGTGGTGAGACAAGTTGTTTTACATGCTGGTTTGCGAGTGTGCCATGATGCCTTTCTACTGTTTGTACAGCGCCGGCCACACATCTCGTACTTCCAGAGAAACCACTCCGCCTGCACCTGCCCACAAGAGTCTCTGGACCCCTGGTGAGTGCCACACAGCCCTCCATAGACACCACACAGGCCCCCATAGAACCTGAACAGCCCACCTGAGACCCTGGAGACATCAGGCTGCAACCTCTATAGCTGGTGGTATTCTGCACTGCTAATAGCACAACCTGTCAGAAGCTGGATACCGCATGCTTGCTGTATCAAGCAACTGACAGGTTTAGGCAAAATGTCTTAAACAGAATGAGGTGGGGTGCCAAGTTTAGTCTTGCCAAGAGCCGCACAAAACCAAAATACACCACTGGCTACAGGCACTCCATGGAGTGCTGTATAGTAACATGCACATGCTGGTCAGGACCTGCAGAGGCCGCTGGGTCAGAGTGCCCTTTCAATTTAGGGGAGGGGGTCCTCGGAGGATAATTGAGCTTTCTATTTTATGCAAGGTCCGCTAAAAAAGGTTCAAAATGAAACTTGAAATGACAAAGTATAAAGGAAAGTGCATGAGCTCTGCATGGAGAGAAGTCCTAGAAGGTAACCAGCCCTCTTTTATGACATTAATAATCTCATTGATGTGTATTAAAGGTCAGTTCCTCCTCCTCACTTAGGGCCATAATGAAGGTGCTGACCTCTCACACAGGACTCTATTACAAAGATTCCATTGGGAGAGCCTGACGCCATCATTTGGCTTTGTAATGGCCAAGATAAATAGGCTGTCCTTGGAATTCTGGTGGAATCGCTTGTCCTTGGATTTCCAAAAGAGATCAGAAGCCAGCGCATAATTTGGATCGCCCAAAACAAAAATATTAGAATTGCGGTGTATTTTTATATATGAAATATAAATGTACACAGTTGCAGCAATTGTGAATGAAGACTGCGCTCCTCCCCAGGGACTGTATCTCACTGCTGCTCCCTATCTAGAACTGAGATGTATTGGTGCTCTCTCAGTGCCCGGTCTATGGGTCTGCTCAGACTGGCTGAACATTAATATGTAGCTAGCTGATCCTTGTGTTTTCTTTCCATATGACAAACCTACATGTAAGTAGTAGCAGTTCAGCAGTGATACGAGCTCCATTGCCAGATATACAGAGAGTGCCCTAAAGCTGGGTATATACAGAGTAATGGTGAATGTTCAGGTATTTGACTTCCAAAATACAATAGGTGTGCAGTGGTTCGGTTCCTCTATCTATACTGTTTAGTGTGGAGAGAGGAAGCTGTTAGATGTTTGTTCTCTGGCCCAAAAGCTGAAGCTTAATACCCAGTTTCAGGCTATGTTCGCTCCATGTCCAGACCAGATTGGTAAACGCAGTGCAGTGCGTTTTTTCTTTTTTGCTTAAAATGGGCTTTCAGGTGCAGTCCAGTGCATTTGTATGTGTTTTTGCTGCATTTATATGTGTTCCAGTGCATTCCACACCAGAGAAACGGAGACCAGCAGTATTTTCTTTGTCTGGACCGGAACAGACTGCGCAGGTGTGACCAGAGCCCAGAAATACCATAGTAATACATTTTGATGCTTTTTTGGCTTGGGAACAAACTGTTCTGGTCTGGATATGATGGTGTGAACAAGCCCTCAGACTAGAAATGATGCAAAATTCCCCTAAAAAAAATTAATCTATATCTAGATATATATATACCCACCTAGAATATAGTGAAGAGTATAAACACACAAATGGGAGTCACCCCTAAAACTGAATGTCATGTTATTGAGAACAGCACAGTAATAGGCTGAAATCTATACTCTCTATAGGTCTCCACACTCGGAGGACAGAGATTACAGGTATAATTGAGCACTTGATAAATGCATCAAATAATATATTTGTCATTTGGGAGAAGGGAACAATGATATAGTTAACTAGACCGGCTCAACCTGTCCCAGCTAAATTCTACAAAGCTGTGTACAAACCAACTCGTCAGATTCTATATTTGGTGACTTCATACCAGGTGACAGAAGATCTCAGAAGCTTCACAAAACATCTTCTTGGTTTTCTTAGCTGTAAAGTAAATCTTGTTGTGCTGAAAGAGGAGCGGCCACGGTGAGGTAGTGTGACAGTCACGTCACCCTTCCTGTATTATACGGTCTGCTGTCCCAGCAACAACCAATCACAGATCTGCTCTGCGGTCATCAAATCACTCTATTTGTTCCAGTCATGCAATACAACTTGATGAAAAGACCTCTGAATTTGTAATGGATTATGTACATATGTTATACATATGTTCCCCTTTTGCTACACATGCCATGATTTCCCTTTCTGTGGATGTTGTTATGTGTTCTTGCTCATTGAAATGGACTGTATGTTCCTCATATGACTCAATATTCCTTACAGGACATAAGTGTTCTTGTTATTCCATCACTATGGCTTATTGTATATTTCTTCTGATTTTCTACAAGCTCCTTGTAGATCTTGTTTGTACCAAAGTGTAAACACGTGGGGCCCTTTCACACTATTGCAGTGTGTCAGCATGGGTTGTTGCATTAGGACAGCCCAATCATTTCAATGTTCCCAATTCAATTAAATCAATAAAACAGCCAATGCGTTTTGTTGGCAACCGACCCCCCCCCC